AAAGGGAAGCGTGAAAAGAGCGTAATGACATGAAAGAAAGAAAAGTGAACGCCACGAAAGCATGCGGTGAAACAAGGACAACAATAACTAATTCGTGTTTTCATGTTAGTTTAATTCACGCGCTCGTTTGTAAACGCACGAATTCGGGCTTGCTCGCTCACTTTGTTCGCCACTTTCAGGATCCTGTACACCGAGGATTTAGTGGCATCTTGACAAGACAAATCTGTCTAACAGGTGGTTCCTGTTTTCCTTTGTTCAAAAAACCACGCGTTCTTTGTGTTTTGTATGAACAAAGGGAAAAACAGGAAACAACCAGGAGAGATAGAATGCTTCTTGGATGGTTTGTTCCTTGACAGTCAATGGTCAAAAATTCTTGGGTGCTGAGTTTAATTAATTCAATTAATCACGCATTACACGCCTTTTCATCTGTATTACTTGAAGTAAATTAAATTCACCACGGAACCCATGCCTGGCGGTGAGGTTAGAAGANNCGAGTACACGGTCAACCTTGTCCCTGATTTCGTTCGTGGCTGTGATGAGGTACAAGGGTAAAAGCACGCATGCCTTTGTCTTTTAATTTTCAATTCAACACAGACCACTCTCTTCATGTCTTATGTAGGCTAGGTGTAAACGAGAGTCTTCTGTGGGATGTATGTTGTAGGTGATATTGACAGTAGACGCAGAATACCAATATAAGATGTAATGATGTGATGCAACGTCAGTTGTAAGAACATAAGAAAGAAATAATGGCAAAATCTTGGGCTCGTGGTTGAATTAAATGTAAAAAACACGCGCTTCACTTTGTTTCACTTGCTTCTTTACATTCAATTCAAACACTCACTGACCTTTTCATTTGACCCTACATTCGTTCCACTGCGGCTGAGCGGTCAATAACAAAGGGAATGAATGTACTGGGGATCGAGAGTGGTATCGTATGAGCCGAATTTAATGGCAGTTGACTGCCGGTTCAGTTGTCATTAGACGCATGAAAGCAAAAGAAAACAATGAGCCACCATTTCGTTCCTATTGTGTGGTCTGGTTAATTCAATTAAAATAAAAAACAACGCGTGCACTCGTTTCTCTTTCGTTTACTCTTGTTTATGTTGATGAAAAACCACACAACAAAAAACACTTCATATTATTGTAATCCTGCTCATCTTGGTCGTACACGCATTCCCTGTTTCCCTTTATTCGTTCACACATTATAGAGTTCCTGCTATCGAAATAGAGCCGTTTCAAACACTTGTACATGTAATGGTAGGATCTTGAAGGTTGGGTGTGTGTTGTTCGTGGCTTGTTTAACTGAAACAAAACAATGGAAAGTAATCGAAGCGTGGTTATTTGTTTTAAACAAAGCACACGCCGCAACACACATCTTCCACAATCTATTATTTCGCTCGTGTTTCGTTCATTCGGCTTATTAATTTCGTGCTTACACTTCGCCCCATTACAAATTTAATTAGCGAAAGAGAACCAGGAACGGTAGATTCTGGAAGAAGAAATCATTTGGCGTGTGTTTCATGAAAGAAAAACAAAGCATGCATTCATTGTGTTCCTTTATCAATTTGTGGCATTTAAATGCAACACACGAGTTCCGCTCACGCTACAGTTAATTATTAAAGGTGTTCTGCTACTGTGTGGTGAGGATATGAGGTGAGCTGGAATGTAACGCGTGCTTTCGTCCTTTTGTTCGTTATTTTGTCCAATCTTAATGTAGTAAAACACGCATCCACTTCGTTCTTTTGTTTTTACTAAATCGTGTGGTGAACCCGTTGTTGAGTGAACGGCGAAACGATCGGCAAACGCAGTGCGTGTAATGAATGAAGAAAATTCAACAACAGAACCACAACACAAAAGAATCAAGCCAGGCGGTAACAAAAAGAAACAAACAAAGCTTGCGTCTTTTCTTTTTCGTTACCTTCGTTTCGTTACATTATATTGGCCTTTTGTTCCTTCCTTTGTTGCATGAGTCTTTTGCTTCTGTATAAGGAAGTGAAATCACTGTACCCAAAGCATGAAAGAAACAAAAGGCGAAAGCCAAAAGCGACAATTATTTTGCTTTCATTACCTTTCTTTTCAATCAAACAAAGCACAGAAAAGAACCACACATCCAGGAGAGTTGTGTTCCCTGGTCTTAATTCTCTAGCTATAGTTGGGTGACTGATGAGGAACGAACGGTAAATAAGCCACGTGTCTTGCTTCTTTTGCATTCTTATCTTCGTTCACTTGTAATGTAGCGCAGAGCGAGAACGGAAGCACGAAATAAACGGAATGAAAGCAAACTATGACAGAAATGTGCGGCTTCTTCCGTTCCTGTTTTGTTTGCTTTTGTTTAATTCAATCACGCACTCGTTCTTTCATGACTTGTTTATGTTGAATGAAACAAAAGGCTAAGCAAAACACTCTTTTCATCCTAATTTCCTCTTTGTCCTTGACCCTTGTTCCAATTAAAGAAGTGGTAAGGGAAAAACGTAAGCAAAGGATGCACGCTCTTCTCGTTTGAGCTACAAAAGACAACTAAAAGGGCAAAAAATGTGAACACGCACTGGCGTTTGTTTCATTATTTTGAATCAGTTATTTTGTATTAACCTCTGTCATGTTACCTTCAAGTCGCGCTTTGTTTTCGTGTGGTTTCTTTGCTGTAATTAAATCAACAAGTAAAGTAGTGAAGCAGATGCACGGTTTTAGTTTAAGTAAAAATAACGTACGACACAAAAACCAGAAAAAACATAAAGAATAAATATATTGAAGAGAAGCGAAAGCATGCTTTCTTTCTTTCTTTTTACTTGGTGGTTTTCGTGCTTCCATTGCATAAGTCCCAAACAAAAGGTAAAATTAAGGACAACTTAAGGTGTCGTGAGATTGGTGGTGTACGAAAAGAAAAGTAAAGGTTAATGCGCATGCACAAGGACCAAGTGTAATAAAGTGAAACGGTAAGGAACGCACGCGTTTTTCATAAATGTAATTTGACCTTTTGGCTTACTTGTTTTCTCGTTTGTCTTCTTTCACGCATTCGTTTCACGACTTTGTAAAGAAGCAAACAGAGAAAACAGGGTTGAACAAGGCAGTGATGAATGAGCGGTTTGCCTTTGTTTCCTTGAGACACCATCCTTGCGATCATTCCACCAGCTAACAAAATACAACCATGAGGTCATTAGGACACAGTAACCACCTAGGTCAACAATAGATTCACGGGCTTGTGGTCTTTTCCTTTTTCTTTTGTTTCTGTTGCGTTTAATGTAATAAGACACAAGTGAGTGAAATAAGTGGAAGGAATGCGTGGTCGAATTAAAGGCAACAAAACAACAAGAAACTGAAAAGGGCGAAAGACCCAATTAAAAAGGGCAAACACGCACTACATTTTACGCTTGGTTTTGCCTTTTGAATTGGCGCTTTTGGTTGGTTCGGTTCCTTTATCATGTTACACACATTACACTCATAGGGCGAGGGGAAAAAGGTGAAATGAAGTAAACCAAGATAAACTAAAAGAGTGAAGTGCATGCTTTGTTCTGAGTCATTTTCTCTCTTGTTGGGCTTGCTTTTTTAATTTAACTTACAATAATCACTTTTGAGCTCCTTCATTGATTTAAACCTCCTCTTATAGTTTGTCCTGTGCGGAAAATGAGGAACGGACCAGAAAAGAGCCTAAAAATTCATAGAATGAGAGAACGCATGGTTTTACTAAAGTCAAAACGGCTCTTTGGTTCGTGGTTGTACATGTCCGAATTTGTCCGTCTTTCATGCTCCGTCATTTCCGGAAAGTTCCGTCATTCATATTTCATCTTTTCCGGATTATTCCGTCGTCCTCCCGTTTTGGCCGGCCGGGAGGAGTGTGATCCAGGCCTGTTTTCTTTAGAGACTGAACCCCACAGTTTTTGCTGTTGGAAATAATTCCATTTTGATTCCGTTTCGTTTCCCAGTCCATCATTTCCGGATATTGATTTTTTATGTTCCGTCATTTCCAGAAATTCCGTCATTCACATTTGTGCATTTCCGAATATTTCCGTCTTGCTTCCATTTCGCTTCCCAATCCATCATTTCCGTATATTCGATCACTTCCGGAAACATGTCCGAAGGTTTTTGATTTTTATGCTCCGTCATTTTTGGCAATTTCCGTCATTCATAGTTCATCATTTCCGGGTTATTCACATTCGTGCATTTCCGAATAATTCCGTCTTGCTTCCATTTCGCTTCCCAGTCCATCATTTCTGCATGTTTTCTGTTTTTTATGTTCCGACATATCCGTCCGTCATATTTCATGGATTCCGGTTCATTTCCGGATTATTCCGTCGTCCTCCCGTTTTGGCCGTCCGGGGGCAGTTTGATCCAGGCCTGTTTTCTTTGGAAACTGAAAAACCCAACAGTACATGCCAATGCTGCTGGGAATTTGCCTCTGGCGGCAAACATTTCGCCATGTCAGGAAAACCATTTGGTCCTCCAGTTCGTTCAGAGCATTGCCCTCCGGGGCCGGAGGTGTTGGTAAATATAGTGTTTTTCTCCGATGCTCAATTCCGTCAGGCTTTATATGTTCTGCAGTGCATAAAGCGACATTATTGAGCATCGTCAAGCTTGAAATGCGTTTGCAAAGGTGTCGCCATCTCGGAAAAAGCAATTCGGTCCTCCATGCTCCAGTGCCAGAGGTGCTGGTTACGGTACTGAGCACTGTCCAGCTTGACATGGATTGGCAAATGTTTCGCCATCACGCCTCGCTCCTTGTTGAAAGCGATGTCTCCCTCACAGCCCATGCAAAAAAAGGTTTTGCTATCAGTGCTCCTCAATCGCTGTATATCGCTGTTCGGGGTGGAGGCTGGCACAATGTGCTGCTTTTGCTGGCAGCGACGCGTGGCCGACGACATGCATGTCTTTCGTTGCTTCTCGCTGCGACCACGGGGCTGTAGTGCTTGCTGGGAAGTGGGCCTAGGCCGAACACCTTCACTGCAGGAACAAACTTGGGCAAGCGCACAGTTGACCTCGAGCCTTGTCGAAAATCGCCCGGATTCGGGGCATGTGAAACTGGTTGCTGATGATTGTCAGTCTAGCACAAGCATACTCGGCCCTCCTGCATTGCGTCTACAGCTCCTTGCCTTCTCCAGCCGGCGATGTCTGTGTGAGTTGTCCTCCGTTTTGGCCAGGGTTTGAGAAGAGCTGAGCATGTGCAAGCAAGCGAAAGAGCACTCTTGCCGTGCAATTTGGATCCTCAGCATGTAAGCATTTCCAATCCTCAGCCACAGCTAGGCTGGGAGACACACGCCCATAGGATGGCAAGTGCAGCAGCTGCAGCCATTTGCGAAGGCTCGGGCGTGTCTAACGACCAGCTCTCCTCAAATACGTCCTGACGCTTAGGCAGCACGCTTAGAGGCTGCTCGATTGTAGTTTTCCGTGCTTTAAGCCGAGCCGGGCTTTCCCGGGCCCCTGACGTCTAAAGACTGGGACAGGTCGTGTCATTACCTTACGAAAACTTTCTGCGAGGGTCTCGGACGGAGGATTCTGTTATAGGTTTTGCAACACATGTCGACACATCATTGTGCTTTCAGGCATTCTAGTCACTATAGTGACCTGGAACGGCAGAGGCCGCGCACCAAACTTCCGTACAGGGTGGAAGAACAGGCAGGGACTGGATTGAATTCCTGTCCTGCGGGGGAACGTTGAAGTCTCGTATCAAGCATCGTGCATTTGCCTGGCAGTATCTGCATGCAGCTTGCAGATTATGCAACAGCAGCATGTCCTAGCTGTACAGCGGTTCGGCTCGACAAAGGAGGCGCCTCGGCTTCCAACACCTGGAAACCGGAGTGCGGATCATGTGGCATTGGCCTCAGGTGACATCACATCGAAGACAATGAACTGTTTTGTCGAGTTCATTCCCGGCAGGTGCTCAACTGAAGGCAAGACTTATGTGGGGTGCCAGCTGACAACATCATCACCTCGGTGCTCGGTGCTGTTCCCAATTCGGCTCGTTTGCCTCAGTACAGCCGGGAGAGAATGGGCACCTGACAGCAGCCCGCTGACCGGATCTCACATAGGCGAAGTACAGGCTGGCGGCCTGTCCGAAAGGAGGGGCATATGAGGAGGGTGTCCCGTAATTAGAGTGTCTGAGGCCTCTTGCAGTCGCCGGCGAACCTGCACGGAAGTGCGAGCACAGACTTCGAGAAGCTCATTTCATGCGGAGCACCCACAGAGGTGGACTGCCCTCGGCAGTCAGGCCCCCGCCGGGCACCACCACCTGACATGCCGGTTTGTCGGCTTTCTCTGGCGCAGTGTCACAGAAACATGGCGGTTCAACAAGATGCGGGGAGGCATCCTCGGCCTTTTCCTGATCTAGTGCTGGTATCATCACAGTTCCCACACTCTGAAACTTAAGACGAAGTGTCCAAACTTGGAAACCGGGCTCCGACGTCCGAAATCATCTTCAGAAGCAGAATCAGTGCACCACCAATGCTCCCATAAAGAAGCGGCCATTTCATCCTGCGGTCCCAGATGACGATGTGAGTCTCACCGATCCACGTGTCTACTGTAAGATGCCTAGTCGCGAAAGTCACGACCTGCTTGTAGGCCTGGGTACAGCGGCTCAAGGCTGCAGGGCTCTCGTCTCTCCCCCTCTCAGAGTCTCAGGCCCGTGCAGGATCCATTCAGCCAGGACTCGAAATTTTCGAGGCTCCGGGTTCTCCATATGATCAGTCCTATGTGTCTTCAATTACCTCGCAGGTTCATCTGGCTGGTGGCTTGGGACGGAGTTCTAGGGCTTCAACATGTTGAGTGTGAAGCGTTTGCTGAGTGGCTGTGTTGAGATACGTGGATATATTCTTAGGTTTGTGTTGTCTTGTGTCTTGTGTGCAGCTGCGCACGGCCAGGCCACGCTCCCAGAATTGAGCGTCGCAACGTGCATTTGCCCGGTCTGCTTTACAAGCAGCGGAAGCAGCGGAGTCGATTTTCCTAGGCCACTCGGTCTGGCAAACCAGCGTCAAAGAGGCCGCTTAAAGATGGATCAATGGGACCTGGGAGCAAAATGCACATCCATCAGGACAAACTACAAAACAGCTATAACTTGCAGTCGACCAAGAAACATGCCATACCTTCCACCACACTGGACAGGAGCCAATCAAGCTACAAATCTGCCAGGTCATGGATATGCGGGCGGACCCGGCAGCTACGAAGCCTCAAAGGCTAGGCACAAGAGAACTTGAGCTTGAGCGAGAAGCGCTCTCTGCAAAATTCAGCACAAATTACCGGAAGCTCCAAACAATCAAAGAAAAAAGCGCAGGCTTCATGATGTCGGCTTGGACAGTGTCTGGACGGCCAATCACCTTGGTTTTGCGGTAAGCTTCAAAGGCTCAACACAGCAAACCTTATCTTGGCATGGCATGCATTGCTGTGTCTCAATCGCGGACGCGTCACTTGCAAAAAGGCCTCCGCCCAGAGATGCCCACGACTCAAGCACCGGCCATGGATAGGAAAGCATAATTCGCTTTGTCCTTATGGTTAAGCTGGGCTGAAGCTATCAATGGGATAGCTGCCTTGTTTTTCTAGTTTTCCTATTACAGGGCGGCACAAACAGCCATGCGACGGGTGGAACCGAAGGCCCAGCGCCATGCGCTCAGAGGCTGCGGCTGGCATCGGCAGCTCCGATCTTTGCAGTCGTGGCTTTGCCACCGCGAAAACAAAAAGGAGACAGTCAGCTTCATTTATGGAAAGCGAGGCATTCGAACGCATATAGCACCTGGCAAAGCCAGGACCGTCTCCAACACATTACAGCAGCAAGGCGATGGTACGGAAGACACTTGTGTGGTTCACTGAGTCCGGGACAAAACTGCATGCTCTGCGCAAGCCGCTAGGCGTACGACTCCTTCGGGTTGGCCTTGAGGACCTCCTCCTTCGGATAGATTTCATTTGCAATCAGACTTGCTTTTTTGACTGATGCATCGGAGTATGAAGCACGGGCAACCTCAGCATTTTTTTGCACTTGGGGCTTGCGATCTCATCCCAAGCGCCAAGGCCGGATTGACCGATGTCAGTCTGCGCTTGGAGTGCTTCCTCGATGGCCTGCAGTCCGAACGGCAAGAGCACCCAAAACTATGAACACTCCGACCGTCTGCAAGCATATCAAGCTTGCCTGCTGAAGTCGAAAACCGAAATCACCAGAGTATCTGCCATATTGACAAAGATGAGAAATAATGGTGGCCAACTGCACTGGAAGACCTCTGAGCTCGTTCGCTGTTCTCCCGCAAAGCTTCTTGATGAGCTTCGTAGTGGCCTGTGCAGGCTCAGTTGGATTGCGGTTCGTCAGAGATGCTCGCTCAAGCTACAGTAGTCAAAAGCATTTGTCAGAGATGCCTGGGCAAAGTTGGCTGCAAATTGACAGGACCTGACGCATCGGGAGCGACTCTCTGCAGCTCGTAGGTGACTTCAAGACTTGGCCGAGCGAATTGCACCTCGTCGATTTCTGTGCTCTGGAGGACGACCATGCCTGCCTGACTGGAGATCTTCAGGTGGCTGCTCCACAGATGCAAGTGAGGAACATTCACCCAAGCTGCAACATCGAAGAAGTCGCCGATGTTCGGACCTCTGCATGAGACTGTGCAGCGGCTGTGCATCGTATGTCGCGGCAGGTACGCAAAGCATGTTGGGAAGCCGGCAGCCCCAGTAAACGGGCACGGACTGCGTGAGCTGCAATGTCGACCAGGGCAAGCACAGGGTGACGGGCAAGCGGATGGCTTTTTGCAGCGTCCGAGCGGCCAAGGCATCCAGAAGCTTCTCAGAAAAGTAGTTCTCATGCCTGGAGTTCTCGATGACCTGGCCAAACAAAGGGAAACACATCATGCCTGAGTCATTGTAAACCTTCTAGAGAAGCCTTTCTCCAAGTGAAACATGAAGAAGGACGTGGAAGGACTGCCTGATAATTGTACGACCATCTTACCCTGGCACTTGCTTCGCTACTTGCAAAGCACTTCACAACCCATGATTGCATTGCTGTGGTCGTGTACCCCCTTCCCTGTCTAACTGTGTGGCACCAGCACGAACTGGTTGAAGAACTGGAGGTTGCGCTCATCACGACTTATGCCTCCTCCCTGGAGGAACTGGAGCGGCACCTCGCAGGTGACGGGTTAAAGTGTCTGCTGTGGCCAGCACAACGTTTCGCACGCTGTCTTCTCCTTCCAAATCATGCTTTCGTCATCCTTTGACGTGATTCCCCTGCTTGCCGTGCCTCGCACACACTTTGGAGTTGCTCCCGAGCCTTCGAAAGTCACCGAAAGCAGAATCGGAAATCCGGAAAAACCGGTCGACGAGCCTCCCAGATCCGGTGACGCAAACGGTGTCCGGCCATTTGGCTTTTGCTTCCTGAAGAGCAGCACCACAAGGAGCGGGAGCTGGGGTGCGAGCCGCGGGCCTCGGAGAAATCCCAGGCCAGGCTTCTTCGAAAGAAACCGAGGCCACTCTGCCTTCACGGAACTTCCCGATTCAACTTCTTGCCCTTCCTCCTTGACTCTCGAGGCCAAGGATGCGGCTGCCAGGAGCCAGGGAGTAGCAGGCACGAAGAAGCGGGACTGCTGGAGTTCCTGAGCCACCAGACATCACCAGACTGCAAGGGACAGCCAAGCGATCTTCAGCCCGTGGCAAGATGCTGCTGTTGCCAAGTCAGGACCAGGTCAAATCCCTGTCCAGGTCTAGACACTTGAGCTCGGATCTCGGAGAGTCTGAACACATCGCAGCCTCTAACTGCAACTGCTTGACATCAGGCGGCTCCTGCACGATGAGAACCTGCCGACGAATCACGGTTTTGCTCTCACACGCTTTTACTTGCCTCCCTTAAGCATCTGAGCAGGACAACCTGCACTACGGCGATTCACGCGCAGCTCAGCAGGGGCAGCGGAGTCAGTCGCAGAGATGCTAACGACGCAGGCGAACTCCTCCGTGTTCACTTGGACAGTGTTCTCGCAGAGCACCGGCACGCTCTTTCGGGGGTCGGTTTGTCATGACAGGCCACTGCTACTCCAGCTGCGGGTCCAAAGACGATGCTCGCTTCAGGACATCTCCAGTGCTAAAGTCAAAATCGTCTTCTGCAAGCTGCATGTGTGCAGCAGCTTGAATCAGAACCAATGCCAAAGCATCAGCCAAGTCACCCATGGATTCCTTTGAATCCTGCTCCGCGGCTTTTGCGACCTTTTCGCTTGCCCGAACCAGGCCTCGTGCTAACTCTGCGTGCGTCAGGTCGTCCCAAGACTCCCCCAACTTGATGCGTCGTCCTGCCATCCTGTCACGGAGATCTGTGAAGGACCCACCGCTGCTGGCTGGCACGAACAAGGATGTAGTTATGCCAATGCTCTTGCTGCGGTCGATGTTCTGCAGAGGTAACCACTCCACTTGAGCAGTTCCTTGAACGCCGGCCGAATGGACCAGGGCTACCTCATGCTCTGCCTCGTAGGTGCTCATAAGGACAAGCTTTAGAGCATTGGCCGAGATCTGATCATCTACCTGAGAAATCAACAGTGGAGTGCTGCATTCGAAAGGGAGGGACTGGAAGCCAGTGAGCTCGTAAGCATCTCCCACAGCCAGTCTTGGAAGCATATCCACACCCAGGGCGGCCAGTGAAGGTTCCACGAAGCTAACACCGGGCAGTACTTCGACTCTCACACCTTCATCGGCACTTCGTTGTCGAATCATCTTCGTAGTTGTTTCGCCCACGCACGGATCGCCGGGCACTGCATAGACAACTTCACCGTGCTTTTTTGCTAGCTCCAAGATCGTGTCCGAAATGTTGCTGTACAACCCCTCGAAAGTGTCAGCTTCCTCATAATACTGATCAAAGGTTGTAAGAGTCACAGATGCCGGGAGTGACTCCAGGACTGGATGCTTCGCAAAGCGTGCGTACAAACGCTGACAGTTGCAAAGCTGGCTCCACACGCCTTTCGTCAAGTGCTCCGGGTCTCCGGGGCCGAGGCCAGCAATGATGACTCGCGGCGTTACGCACGCTGGCACTGGCCGGGTAAGTGCGTAACCAAGGCATAGCACTGCCGTGCAGCACTTGTAGTGTCTGCGGGGATTCGCGTGATTGGACGCAGGCATGCCCACGACATGCTTGGGCTTGGGCCATCTTGACTGCGTCAAATCACCAGCTCGTTTGCGCAGCCCATGCCAGGTACCGCACAGCCTGAGCGTGCTCCCAACCAAAGCGCCTTCAGCGTGGACTTTGACTTTGCAGGCCGAAGCCTGAGATCCACGTCCAGCCAAACTTCGGCCTCTCCGCTCGTGAAGCGATTGCTCCCCGTAGCACAAGCCAAACACAGGGCCACTAAGCCAGTGACTGCGCGACTTAGCCGAATGGAAAGGACGCCGCAGTTTGCTAGATCCTTCGCAGCGTCTGTTCAGAGGCTAGTGACACTAGGGAGCAAGCTTGATCGGAGAAGCCGTGCCTCTTGCAGCTGCAGATCCTGCTGTCCCAGATGTCCGGCAAGAACAGATAGAGCTTCACTGGCACATTCAGTGCGCATTTCAAACGCAGTGAGCACTCATGGGAACAAGGAAACATCTACGCTCGAACTTCTGCGCCTGTGAGCGAGGCTCTGATGCACCGTTGCCAACATTGGCCGAAATCACTTTCAGCTCTTAGATGCACGAGCAAACCAACGATAATACCACATTTGGAGATCTGGCTGCTTGAGAGCATCTCCGCATGGAGTGAAGTCATGAACTTCCTGCTGGGTATCGATGTGCTGGACAAGCTGGATCCGGAGCCACATCGACAAAGGCTTCAAAACAAAAACACACACACACATGTATGTATGTATATGCAGTATATATATATATATA